GGAAGCCCAAGTCACAGGCCCCAGCTGTGAACAGTGAGGAGGAGTAGGAGTATGGAGGACAGGGGATCCAGTGGCACGTCAAGCCAGGAGCTTCTTTTTGACTCCTGGACAGTCCGGACAGTCCCTACAGTCCAGCACAGGTGAGCCTGATACAAGGAAAGGAACCTCTGGTAAATATACTATTTGCTTTGATATTGCAGGGACACATCCATTCATTTACTTTTTTTTTTTTTTTAAACTTATGCTGGAAGAGATAGTGAAATCAACAGTAGAGTGAGAAGCAGATAGCAGCTCTACTTCCCCTCTACAGTTAGGCAGAGGGGGTACTGCAGAATAGTTTGTTTGTGTGCACCGGGATGTCCCATGAATCCTTCATAGAGATCTCAAGGAAACTTTTGTGAAGGCAGTCTGCAATCCTCTGCCAAAGATTTCTGGGGAGGGCTGCCTTATTTCTCCTGCCATGGTAGGACACTTTCCCACACCACTCAACAATTATTTCAGTAGGCACCATTGCAGCATGCAGGCTAGCAGCATATGGCCACGATCTGCAGCTGGATGCCTGCAGGAGCTGTTCCCTTTCAGTGGAAGTTCAGCTAAAATCCCCACCACCTGTGGAAAACAGTGCAAGTATTCAGCTCAGTTGTCCTATACACATATACTCATGCCCATGAACTATCCCTGCCCCTTATTTTCCCAACTTACCCCCTCCCTCCTGGGCTGTACTCACCATCACTGGGACTGCCACTCTGCTTCATGAATCCCAGAAAGAAGTGAGAATGTTGTGTTTGCAACTTGTGTGGATAAAAGGGAGTGAGTTCAGTATACCAAGTTTCAATTTATCTTGTGAATACACTCACAATAGTACCTCTGTGCATGGTATCTTTTGCAGCTGGAAATGTGGTCTTGCAGATCTCTGCATCTGCACCAGCAGAGCAGTGCAGCCAGATGAGGAGGAGAAGGAAGAGGATGCAGGACGGCATGTTCCAAGAGATCCTGCAAGCCTCTGCTGCTTTGGATACCCTTGTGGACAGCATGGACAGGGACTGAGTGGAAAAGAGAGCAGAGAGGGACATGAAGCAGCAGATGCTAGCACTTTTCAAGCAGCAAACAGAACATGCTGTAGACTCTTGAGGACCTTCAGATTCAACAGTTCCATGCTCGCCTCCCTCTGCAGCCCACAGAGAACTGCATTCCATGCGGCGTCCGAGGCCCCTGCACTATGCCTACTACTCCACCCTGGGGGAGAGTGCAGGCAATCACAGCAGCACGTGCACTGACCTGTGAGAGACATGGTTGGTGTACGTGTTTGTGAAATGGAAATGACTGTTCTTTCTCCTTTAATAGTTCTTTCCCCTGTATTTATAAAGTTTAATTCAATTATAAACGTGTCTGTTTGCATGGGTTTATAATAAGTCTATTTATGGAAACTTAATTCATCTTTGTTCATTTACAGCGTATGCTGGTTGGGGCTGACATCATTCACAGTTAATAGTAATAGGTGCATATGCAATGTTATATTGCTGCACACACGGCACTCATTACAAATCAAGGTTCATACTGGGGTGCCAAAAAGCAATGCAAGGCAGAGCATGTTAAAACAGCACACATTACTAGTCTAGTTGGCAGCCGGTATCAAGTGGAGTGCCCCAAGGGTCGGTCCTGGGGCCGGTTTTGTTCAATATCTTCATAAATGATCTGGAGGATGGTGTGGATTGCACTCTCAGAAAATTTGCGGATGATACTAAACTGGGAGGAGTGGTAGATACGCTGGAGGGGAGGGATAGGATACAGAAGGACCTAGACAAATTGGAGGATTGGGCCAAAAGAAATCTGATGAGGTTCAATAAGGATAAGTGCAGGGTCCTGCACTTAGGACGGAAGAACCCAATGCACAGCTACAGACTAGGGACCGAATGGCTCGGCAGCAGTTCTGCGGAAAAGGACCTAGGGGTGACAGTGGACGAGAAGCTGGATATGAGTCAGCAGTGTGCCCTTGTTGCCAAGAAGGCCAATGGCATTTTGGGATGTATAAGTAGGGGCATAGCGAGCAGATCGAGGGACGTGATCGTTCCCCTCTATTCGACATTGGTGAGGCCTCATCTGGAGTACTGTGTCCAGTTTTGGGCCCCACACTTCAAGAAGGATGTGGATAAATTGGAGAGAGTCCAGCGAAGGGCAACAAAAATGATTAGGGGTCTGGAACACACGAGTTATGAGGAGAGGCTGAGGGAGCTGGGATTGTTTAGCCTGCAGAAGAGAAGAATGAGGGGGGATTTGATAGCTGCTTTCAACTACCTGAAAGGGGGTTCCAAAGAGGATGTCTCTAGACTGTTCTCAATGGTAGCAGATGACAGAACGAGGAGTAATGGTCTCAAGTTGCAGTGGGGGAGGTTTAGATTGGATATTAGGAAAAACTTTTTCACTAAGAGGGTGGTGAAACACTGGAATGCGTTACCTAGGGAGGTGGTAGAATCTCCTTCCTTAGAGGTTTTTAAGGTCAGGCTTGACAAAGCCCTGGCTGGGATGATTTAACTGGGATTTGGTCCTGCTTCGAGCAGGGGGTTGGACTAGATGACCACCTGGGGTCCCTTCCAACCCTTATATTCTATGATTCTACTGTGGCTCAGTATTAAAGTGGTATTTCCAAGCCTCCATGAGCCATATAGCTCCACGTTGAGCTCTTCTTAAAGCTCTGGTATCTGGCTGCTCAAAATCAGCAGACAGCTGCTTCACTAGGCTGGAAACTTCTCTCCCTTTGCTTCACAAATATTATGAAAGACACAGCAGCCAGCTATAACCATTGGGATATTTTTTCACTGAAGTCTAATCTCATGAGTAGACCGTGCCAGCGGCCTTTCAAACAGCCCAAGGCACATTCAGCTGTCATTCTGCACCTACTGAGCCTGTAGTTGAAGCGCTCGTGAGCTTCGTGAGCCACAGGAGTAAGGGATCACTATTAGCATTTCAACATCCACAGTGATAGGCCTCTGGTCTGGAAAGAAAGTCCCCGCTTGCAACTTTCTGAACAGGCCTGTGTTCTTAAAGATGCGTGTGTCCTGCACCTCCCCTGACCAGCCCACGTTGATGTTGGTAAAAAGTCCCCAGTGATCCACCCGTGCTTCCAGTACCACACAAAAGTAGCCCTTTCTGTTGGTGTACTCTGTGGCAAGGTGGTCTGGTGCCAAAATAGGGATGTGTGTGCCATCTATTGCCCCACCACAGTTCGGGAACCCCATTACTGCAAAATGATCCACTATGTCCTGCACGTTGCCCAGAGTGTCAGTCCTCTGTAGCAAGATGTGATTAATGGCCCTGGATGCTTGCATCACAGCAACCCTCCTGGTGTTTTTCCCAACTCCAGTTGATTCCTGACTGATTGGTAGCAATCTGGCATTACAAACTTCCCCACAGTGATCGCCATCTCGTTCTCCACTGTCAGTGCAGCTCTTGTTATGGTGTCACTGACCCGGAGGGCAGGCGAAAGCTCTGCGCGCAGATCCGGAAACGTGGCCTTGCACATCCCAACAGTTCTGCAGCCACCGCTTGTCATCACAAACCTGCATGACAATGTGGTCCCACCAGTTAGTGCTTGTTTCTTGGGCCCAGAACCAGTGCTCCACCATCTTAAGCTGCTCTGTGAACACAGCCAACAACCTTGAATTATTTCTTCCTGTGTCCCACAGCAATCTAGCCTCTAAGGAATTGTCATGTCCCCCAAGGCTCCTCTGCTGACACTGCAAATACTGCAGGATCAGACATCCCTTACTTGCAACACTCATCACAGTAGTACAGAGCTGTGCAGGATCCATGCTTCTCCTCACTCAGATGGCATGCACACAGGTTTTCGGGGCTTTAGAAAAGAGACGGGAAACATTATGAGATAGAGAAAACTGTATTATGGACTGTTGAAATCATGTTTCCAGGCACCCCTGTGCAACTTGTTTGCCCCCATGAGGCATTGCAAACCCTTCCCAAAACACCCTGCACTAGATGGTGGCAGGTTGCACAGTGAGATAGCTATGCACAGGTGCACTGCTCTTGGCACTTATATCGGTGCAGGTAGTGAGGACGTGCACTGCTGACACGAACATAATGTGGACACACAAAAATGATTTAATTACTGTGGTGTCTGCACATGGACATAACTTATGTCAACATAATTTTGTAGTGTAGACACTCTCTGAAAAATCAGGCTCATTGTAGTAATCCCTCTTTTGCATCATAACAAATACTTTTGAAGTCATCGTATCTAAACAAAATAAAACATAAATGCCAACATCCTTACAGACCCAAAGCATGTGCATGACAAACTGAAAGTGAGTAAGGGAAACAGACATTGATTTCAGATTTTAAAAGGATCATTATAAAAAGTCAGGGAATAAAACCATTTTAATGTACTTGGAAATGCCTTGAAAATCCACTTTAATATATGAGTTAAAATTATTTTGATGGTGAAAAATTTCTGCTTCCTTTGCAGTACTGTAAAGCTTGCTAAAAATGCAAAAATCCATGGGGGGTGGGGGGATATCAACTTGAAACTTTTCTATGGCAAAGTGATATAAAATAGGCATTTTTAGCATATGTATGTGTGTATGTCTCTGACAAAAGACTGTGTAAGATTTGATTTCTTTTGGGTTTTTTTCCTCAACATTGATTTGTAGGCAGTAACAGAAATTGTGACTGTAACAGGAACCAGAGTGTCATTCAAATATTAGTCAGAGGATGGCCTCCTTGGGTAGCACTACACTTCATTCTGCTGTGCCTTGCACAATATTAACCAGGTTACTTTATCCATGGAACAAATGGGATTGGGCCCTATATTCATTGCTCTTCGATGTTCCATTTGTTTTCCTGAACATACAGTTGTGGCAGCAACAAGTAAACAAACTCAACAGGACTTTTGGTTTAGGAATATGAATATGTAAGGTTTTTATGAAAATCTTCTCTTCCTAAATGCCAGTTGCAGAGCTATTTTATAAACTCTCTTCTGTCTTCCTTAGGATTTACAAATAGAGCGAGAGAGGACTGTTTACAGTATATCTGGTGGCTGCACAGCCCTTGTTGTTGTGTATATGCTGGGGAAGCTCTACGTGGCAAATGCTGGCGACAGTAGGTAAGCAAAGCGGATCTCTAGGGGTTTTTTGCCTAAAAATAATCATTTCCTTTGCAACAGGCAGTTAGCAAAGTAGCTCAGTGGGGCCCTGATCCTTGATTAGAATGCATCTCAATTCAAATAGTAGTAATATACCTTACTGTTTATATTGAACAGTTGCAATAAGTATTTAATAGAAACTAAAACTAATATAAGCCCGCTAGTCAGAGAAGAGTGATGTTTAGAGAAGTTCAATTTTCTGCTGTTCTTATTAACAGTCTCTAAATGACTCAATGACTCTTCTGCAGTATGAAATCAAAAATCATTTACTGTGTGTTCTAGTGAAAGTTTTGTATTAACCACTGTTTGAAATGGTTTCGTATTTCTGTTTGAGAATTGAAAGAACTGTTTGAACTAGAAGTTGCTATTGTCCCCCAGCCTAGGCTTGGAAGATCTCCTAGCTAATCCTTGATGGGTTCAGAGCCAGTCAATTACGACAGATTTGGTTAGTGCTTTTGTAACTGGGCATATGAACAGGAGAGGCTAGAATTAAATAAATCAATCCTGATTCAGATATTCACCTACCCCTCAGACTGAAACTTGATGGACTCCTCGGAAGTTCAGGTCATTTAGCTAACCTCTTTTATTTAATAATAATGATAATTATTATAAAATGTTGGCCACTGGAAATATCCCAGAGAAAAAGCTGTTTTTCCAGTCTTCTGAGTAAGTCAAAACCAATAGCATACTGGAATGCTCTCTCTTTCCTCCCCACACGACCCCTAGAGAGAGAGAGAGAGACTGTTCTTGTAGGTTTCAGGTCTTTTTGCTGTTTGTGCGGCAGCCCTGTCATATTGGGAAAGAACAAGCTGAGAAAAGTAGGAAGGAGAAGAAGGCTATTCTCTGGGTGGTATGGGGCAAGACTTCATAGGCCTGAAAAGGGGAGTAGACAGCCCTAATTTTAGACAGAAAGCCATTAAAAGAAGAAAAATATATATGTAGACTTCTGTGTGTGCACATGCATGCTTGTGAGTATATATTTTTCACAGTTTCATTATGTATATGCACCTATTAACAAAGATAGTGAGAGAACAGCTGTAGTGCTGCTCAGAAGCCTTAGATTTTTAAGGAGGCAGCAGGCCCAGAAATCTCACAGCTAGCAAGAGTAATCTCTTGTGCACACTGTCCCAGTTCTCTGCATGCCAGTGCTATGATTCTTCTTGATGTTTGTAGACACACAAATTGAATTAGAAACAAGGTATTGCATGCTTTTCTTTTGAATTACTCATTAATTTAATGTTGATAAAAGACACTAAAATGTGAAGCTCAAATCCCCCTTGGACACACAGCAATCAAGTCAAGGTGAAGGTGCACCAGGGTAAAAGTAAGCCGGTATGGGCCAGCACAGCGTACCGGTAAAATGTGGCCGCCGTACCAAGTTGACTTGAAAGCGCTGCTACGGCAGTGCTTTAATGTCGCTGCCCCTTTTGCACCCCGCCCCCCGTTGGCTGTCCTGCTTAAAGCGCTGCTGCAGTTTTAATATTGTTGCCCCTTTTGCCAATGGGGGCGGGGGGGTCAAAAGGAGCAGCTGCCCTGGGGCCAGCAATTTAAAAGGGCCCGGGGCTCTTCAAATCGCCGCTGGAGCCTTGGGCAGCGTAGGCCAGGCAGTGTGGATGGGCTGGTGGGGGATGCTGACCCCAGCCCCGCCCTTTCTGCCTGACGCCCTGCCCCTTGCCTTACCAAGTGGGGGGGTCAGTGTTAACGAGGCCAATTCAATTAGGGTGGATGTGGCCCATTCCCAACAAGTTTACAAGAAGGCGTCCTTCTAATTAAATAGCAAGGCAACTCCCATCTTTTCGTGTGCTGTATATTTATACCTGCTTACTGTATTCTATACTCCATGCATCTGATGAAGTGGGTTATAGCCCACGAAAGCTTATGCCCAAATAAATTTGTTAGTCTCTAAGGTGCCACAAGGACTCCTCACTGTTTATACGTACCAAGATCTAATTTGAACAGACTCTCTTGTCCTGAAATAGACATAGACTTGAAATTCAGTGCAATTTCGAAACAGCAGGGGTTTACAAAGGTGGGTTTTAAAAGGCTTTCTGGTATCCTAGAAACAAGGTATATGAAGGAAACTGTTACTATCACAATGAGAATAAGGAAAGACTGCGTGAGACTTGAATAATAATGGGTTGTGCAGTGCTAACTACACCTCAGAGTTATGTCTGTGGTATTCAGTTTAACCACTAAAGCTTCTCAAATCTAATCATTTCATGCCATGTACCCTGGCACTGTTGTATAGCAGCTGTCCTTTTGTAGTTGATATGTAATTACATCATGAAAAGACTTTAATTACCATATTACTAAATTACCAGCAGGCAGTCCTCTGGTACAGTCACTTCTGCATGGACTACTAGGCTTACCCAAGCTGAGCGTTTTCAGTTGGGGGTGGAAGGGAGGAAACCTGTGCTAATTCTAGGTTTTGTGATGTGCTCTTACAGAGCATGATGTTGCGGCCTTAGCAGATAATGCTAATATCAATGATATAATTAAATTTTTTGCTAACCAAGGAGTCACAGTTCTATAGTAACTACACATGATATCCGCATCCCACTAAAAATGAGGTGACATCTTCACAGTCTGATAAACTACTGAGAGAGCCACTTCCACTCTCTAATTGGTGGGCCTGGTCATTCTTAGATTCTGTCATAAATATACCTTCTTGTACAGTGAGAATCTATATCTGAATCTTGGCCAAAGATTTTTAATGTGTGTGTCTCTCTCTCTAAGCTAAACATCAGCCCTCTTGGCACACTGTCTCCTCCATGGGGGAAGGGAAAATGAAAAGAGTCTTTCAGTGCTTTCCTTTTAAAGGTACAGGTCCCAAGGTCAAGCCATTTATTTGGTTCCCTTCAAACACTGTGTGAAATGAGTGCTGGCAGGAAGGATATTCAGCAACGTTCATGCAAGGTTATCTGGGTTGCTGACTGCAGGACTATTGATCTTGTATTCAATAAATAAAGTTTCCAATTTATATTGGTCTCAGTCTATTACATTGCACTTTGCATACCAGTGTGACATACACATTCTATAGTCATCAGGCTAGAGTATCTGAAGAGTTGCTTTGTAAAAGACAGTAAATGTTCACTGCTCACTTAATTCAAATAGAGTTATTCAATTGTGTATTGTTAGAGTAACTTCTAATTTAAAAAAAAATAGTAAGTCTTGTTAAATTTGTTTTGTCTTAGCGTTGGTAGGCTTTTTGTTGTTGTTGCTGGGTTTGTTTGTTTTTTAAGTCAGTCAGTAGTTTAGCACACATAATAGAGGGCTAGTAAACCAGGAAATGGACAAATGTTCTTTGCTGATTACTAGCCAAGTACAGTGCAGGCTGACTCGGTGTAACAGTTGCCTAGTGTCATTCCGGTGACTCTTATGTGATATGAAGGGATTTAGCCCTCTTTGCCACAAAAGTTCCTTTAGTTTTCATGGTGGCCCCAGCATGGATCTACCCATTTTTATCAGAGAAAGCAAGTATCACCATTTTGTGCTGCATTATATGCAGTGGTGCTACAAAGTCTTTCAACAGCTGCACTTTTATCACTCCATTGAGAAACAAAAGACAAGCTGATTGGTTTCCCCACAAAGTCCCCAAACTCTGGCTAATCTGCAAATAGATTCTTGAACTTTTTTATTTGTGTGCAAAAGAAAGGATCAAAGCAAGGGATGAGAATTTAAAAGGCTTTCACAAATTTGGAGGGTCATTGGACTTGACTTTGCTTAATCAGATTTTCTTATTGATATTTTGTCTTGCTCCCCCGCCCCTCACGTTTATATATGGAGGGCTCTCTCCTTTTTAAAATGTTGGACATACCTAGATTTCCGGGAAAAAATATCTCTTCCTTTTTCTAATGTACTTCAGATAGTTAGATGACAATAACGTGCTGGGTAGCTGCTTTACACAGGGTATTCACATTTGGGTTAAGAATAATCAATCTCACCACTGTTTGAAACTAAGTTTGTCGTATCCCCACTTCTTGCCATTCACAAAAGAGGAGAAAAATAAAATAATGAATACAATGTTGAAGTCTTCTTTATTACTGGTTGAAGTTGAAGCTACCTTCTCCCAGTACCAACTTTGGAACCCACTGAGTTTCCTCTCCTTTCCCTTCTGGGTCACACCTGCTTGTTCTCATTTCATCACTGTAATCATTAATAGTCCTCAGAAGAGGAGTTCACTTTTAGAGTTAATGGTTGTACAAACTAGATGAGAGAGGCAGGGAAGCACCGTGCTATAATGTAAACAATTTTTAAAAAGGGAGAATTGAAGGAGCAAAAATCCCAGGACGTTGGTGTGGTTCACAGTGACTGCACTGCTCAGGATAGTTTTAGCAGTATGATTTTTCCTTCCATCTACATGCCTATTTAAAAATAAAGCATGGGGAGGCAATTTGCCTAGCCTCGTAATATTTTTGTTTTACTCTTTACGGTTTATAATTAGGACCCTACCAAATTCACAGCCATGAAAAACACGTCACGGACCATGAAATCTGATTATCTCCTCTGAAATCTGGTCTTTCGTTTGTTTTTACCCTGTACTGTACAGTTTTCGCGGGGGAGTCAAGCGTTTCTCAAATTGGAGGTCCTGACTCAAAAGGGAGTTGTGGGGGGGGGTCCCAAGGTTGTTTTAGGGGAGGTTGTAGTTATTGCCACCCTTACTTCTGCACTGCCTTCAGAACTGGGTGGCCAGAGAGTGGCCGCTGTTTGCCAGACACCCGGCTCTGAAGGAAGTGCCCAGCCGGCAGCAGTTCACAAGTAAAGATGGCAATACCATACCATGCCACGCTTAGTTCTGTGCAGCTGCTAGCAGCAGCTCTGCCTTCAGAGATGGGCTCCCGGCTAGTAGCCGCTGCTCTCTAACCACCCAGCTCTGAAGACAGCGCCGCTGCCAATAGCAGCGCAGAAGTAAGGACAGCAATACCACAACCTCCACTACGCTAACCTTGTGACTCCCCCACAACTCCTGTTTGGGTCAGGACCCCTAAAATTACAACCCCGTTAAATTTCAGATTTAAATACCTGAAATAATGACATTCACGATTGTTAAAATCCTATGACCGTGAAATTGACCAAAATGGACCATGAATTTGGTATACCTGTATACCTATTTATAATAAGATTTTACAGGTTTCTTAAATACTATCTTTCTCTTCTGATTTTTTTCATTCCCTATTAGCTAATCTGGATTTACTTTGTCCTTTTTATTAATGATTAATCTGCATGGCTGTTTTAACCTTCTTATTTATGTACCACTAGAACAATAATAATAATCAGCAATAATAATCAGACTTCACTCTGAGCCCTGGTCTACACTAGGACTTTAGGTCGAATTTAGCAGCGTTAAATCTATGTAAACCTGCACCGGTCCACACAATGAAGCCCTTTATTTCGACTTAAAGGGCTCTTAAAATCGATTTCCTTACTCCACCCCTGACAAGTGGATTAGCGCTTAAATCGATGTTGCCGGCTCGAATTTGGGGTACTGTGGACACAATTCCATGGTATTGGCCTCCGGGAGCTATCCCAGAGTGCTCCATTATGACCGCTCTGGACAGCACTCTCAACTCAGATGCACTGGCCAGGTAGACAGGAAAAGAACCGCGAACTTTTGAATCTCATTTCCTGTTTGGCCAGCGTGGCAAGCTGCAGGTGACCATGCAGAGCTCATCAGCACAGGTGACCATGATGGAGTCCCAGAATCGCAAAAGAGCTCCAGCATGGACCGAACGGGAGGTACGGGATCTGATCGCTGTTTGGGGAGAGGAATCCGTGCTATCAGAACTCCGTTCCAGTTTTCGAAATGCCAAAACCTTTCTGAAAATCTCCCAGGGCATGAAGGACAGAGGCCATAACAGGGACCCGAAGCAGTGCCGCGCGAAACTGAAGGAGCTGAGGCAAGCCTACCAGAAAACCAGAGAGGCGAACAGCCGCTCTGGGTCACAGCCCCAAACATGCCGCTTTTATGATGAGCTGCATGCCATTTTAGGGGGTTCAGCCACCACTACCCCAGCCGTGTTGTTTGACTCCTTCGATGGAGGCAATACGGAAGCAGGATTTGGGGACGAAGAAGATGAGGAGGAGGAGGAGGTTGTAGATAGCTCACAGCAAGCAAGCGGAGAAACCGGTTTTCCCGACAGCCAGGAACTGTTTCTCACCCTAGACCTGGAGCCAGTACCCCCCGAACCCACCCAAGGGACCTCTGGTGAGTGTACCTTTTAAAATACTATACATGGTTTAAAAGCAAGCATGTGAAAGGATTACTTTGCCCTGGCATTTGCGGTTCTCCTAGATGTAGTCCTAAAGCCTTTGCAAAAGGTTTCTGGGGAGGGCAGCCTTATTGCGTCCTTCATGGTAGGACACTTTACCACTCCAGGCCAGTAACACGTACTCGGGAATCATTGTAGAACAAAGCATTGCAGTGTATGTTTGCTGGCATTCAAACAACATCCGTTCTTTATCTCTCTGTGTTATCCTCAGGAGAGTGAAATATAATTCATGGTCACCTGGTTGAAATAGAGTGCTTTTCTTCAGGGGACACTCAGAGGAGCCCATTCCTGCTGGGCTGTTTGCCTGTGGCTAAACAGAAATGTTCCCCGTTGTTAGCCACAGGGAGGGGGGAAGGTTGAGGGGGTAGTCACGCGGTGGGAGGAGGCAAAATGCGACCTTGTAACGAAAGCACATGTGCTATGTATGTAATATTAACAGCAAGGTTTACCCTGAAAGAGTGTAGCCACTGTTTTATAAAATGTGTCTTTTTAAATACCGCTGTCCCTTTTTTTTTCTCCACCAGCTGCATGTGTTTCAATGATCACAGGATCTTCTCCTTCCCAGAGGCTAGTGAAGCTTAGAAAGAAAAAAAAAATGCACTCGCGATGAAATGTTCTCCGAGCTCATGCTGTCCTCCCACACTGACAGAGCACAGACGAATGCGTGGAGGCAAATAATGTCAGAGTGCAGGAAAGCACAAAATGACCGGGAGGAGAGGTGGCGGGCTGAAGAGAGTAAGTGGCAGGCTGAAGACAGGGCTGAAGCTCAAATGTGGTGGCAGCGTGATGAGAGGAGGCAGGATTCAATGCTGAGGCTGCTGCAGGACCAAACCAGTATGCTCCAGTGTATGGTTGAGCTGCAGCAAAGGCAGCTGGAGCACAGACTGCCACTGCAGCCCCTGTGTAACCAACCGCCCTCCTCCCCAAGTTCCATAGCCTCCACACCCAGATGCCCAAGAACGCGGTGGGGGGGCCTCCGGCCAACCAGCCACTCCACCACAGAGGATTGCCCAAAAAAAAGAAGGCTGTCATTCAATAAATTTTAAAGTTGTAAACTTTTAAAGTGCTGTGTGGCATTTTCCTTCCCTCCTCCACCACCCCTCCTGGGCTACCTTGGTAGTCATCCCCCTATTTGTGTGATGAATGAATAAAGAATGCATGAATGTGAAGCAACAATGACTTTATTGCCTCTGCAAGCGGTGATTGAAGGGAGGAGGGGAGGGTGGTTAGCTTACAGGGAAGTAGAGTGAACCAAGGGGCGGGGGGGTTCATCAAGGAGAAACAAACAGAACTTTCACACCGTAGCCTGGCCAGTCATGAAACTGGTTTTCAAAGCTTCTCTGATGCGTACCGCGCCCTCCTGTGCTCTTCTAACCGCCCTGGTGTCTGGCTGCGCGTAACCAGCAGCCAGGCGATTTGCCTCAACCTCCCACCCTGCCATAAACGTCTCCCCCTTACTCTCACAGATATTGTGGAGCACACAGCAAGCAGTAATAACAGTGGGAATATTGGTTTCGCTGAGGTCTAAGCGAGTCAGTAAACTGCGCCAGCGCGCCTTTAAACGTCCAAATGCACATTCTACCACCATTCTGCACTTGCTCAGCCTGTAGTTGAACAGCTCCTGACTACTGTCCAGGCTGCCTGTGTACGGCTTCATGAGCCATGGCATTAAGGGGTAGGCTGGGTCCCCAAGGATACATATAGGCATTTCAACATCCCCAACAGTTATTTTCTGGTCTGGGAATAAAGTCCCTTCCTGCAGCTTTTGAAACAGACCAGAGTTCCTGAAGATGCGAGCATCATGCACCTTTCCCGGCCATCCCACGTTGATGTTGGTGAAACGTCCCTTGTGATCCACCAGAGCTTGCAGCACTATCGAAAAGTACCCCTTGCGGTTTATGTACTCGGCGGCTTGGTGCTCCGGTGCCAAGATAGGGATATGGGTTCCGTCTATAGCCCCACCACAGTTAGGGAATCCCATTGCAGCAAAGCCATCCACTATGACCTGCACATTTCCCAGGGTCACTACCCTTGATATCAGTAGATCTTTGATTGCGTGGGCTACTTGCATCACAGCAGCCCCCACAGTAGATTTGCCCACTCCAAATTGATTCCCAACTGACCGGTAGCTGTCTGGCGTTGCAAGCTTCCACAGGGCTATCGCCACTCGCTTCTCAACTGTGAGGGCTGCTCTCATCTTGGTATTCATGCGCCTCAGGGCAGGGGAAAGCAAGTCACAAAGTTCCATGAAAGTGCCCTTACGCATGCAAAAGTTTCGCAGCCACTGGGAATCGTCCCAGACCTGCAACACTATGCGGTCCCACCAGTCTGTGCTTGTTTCCCGAGCCCAGAATCGGCGTTCCACAGCATGAACCTGCCCCATTAGCACCATGATGCATGCATTGTCAGGGCCCATGCTTTCAGAGAAATCTGTGTCCATGTCCTGATCACTCACGTGACCGCGCTGATGTCGCCTCCTCGCCCGGTATCGCTTTGCCAGGTTCTGGTGCTGCATATACTGCTGGATAATGCGTGTGGTGTTTAATGTGCTCCTAATTGCCAAAGTGAGCTGAGCGGGCTCCATGCTTGCCTTGGTATGGCGTCCGCACAGAAAAAAGGCACGGAACGATTGTCTGCCATTGCTCTGACGGAGGGGGAGGCGACTGACGACACGGCTTACAGGGTTGGCTTCAGGGAGCTAAAATCAACAAAGGGGGTGTCTTTACATCAAGGAGTATTTCAGGCAGGACTTCACGGAGGGTTCCAATAAGAAATGGTGCACCTAAGTTATTGTTCTTATTGGAACAAGAAGGTTAGCCTGGCCTCTGATTGATACATGGCTAGATTTACCTCGCTGCACCTTCTCTGTGAGTGACTGCAGTGTGGCCTAGAGGAATGAGTCCCCTAGACAGGGGAGGAGGCAAATGAGTACAAAACAAATCTGGTCTATTTCTTGTTTTGACCCACTCCATCTATCTTTTACATCTTTGGCTGGCAGCAGACGGTGCAGAAGGACTGCATGCCATCCACATCTCATGGCTGCTCGGCAGAAGATGGTACAGTACGACTGCTAGCCATCCTCATCTCTTGCCTGCCTGGCAGAAGATGGTACAATACGACTACTAGCAATCCTCATCTCTTGCCTGCCTGGCAGAAGATGGTACAGTACGACTGCTAGCAGTTTGTATCGCCTGCCCGCTCACCATAAGACGGTTCAATAGGACTGACTGCAGGACTAAAGAGAGTGACCTGGTCAAGTCACTCCAAATTTAGTCCCTGCGCCCATGTCTGCCCAGGCGCTCCCAGCCGACGTGGCCAGGAGCACCTCGGACACGACGAGGACGACTACCAGTCGTATTGCACCGTCTGCTGCCAGAAAGCAATGGGTTGCTGCTACTGTGTAGCAAAGCCGTACCGCGTCTGCCAGCACCCAGGAGACATAGGGTGACGGTTACCTGAGCAGGCTCCATGCTTGCCGTGGTATGGCATCTGCACAGGTAACTCAGGAAAAAAGGCGCGAAACGATTGTCTGCCCTTGCTTTCACGGAGGGAGGGAGGGAACGGGGGCCTGACGATATGTACCCAGAACCACCCGCGACAATGTTTTAGCCCCATCAGGCATTGGGATCTCAACCCAGAATTCCAATGGGCAGCGGAGACTGCAGGAACTGTGGGATAGCTACCCACAGTGCAACGCTCTGGAAGTCGACTCTAGCCTCGGAACTGTGGAAGCGCTCCGCCGAGTTAATGCACTTAGAGCATTTTCTGTGGGGACACACACACTCGAATATATAAAACCGATTTCTAAAAAACCGACTTCTATAAATTCGACCTTATTCCGTAGTGTAGACATACCCTGAGAGTCCATAGATCCCAAAGTGCTTTACAAAACGGAAGTATCATTATCCCTATTTCATGGGTTAGGAGACTGAGACTCAGAGAAATTATCTGACTTGTCCAAGGTCACTGTGCTGACTCAGCAAAAAATCCACAAAGCATTTGGAATAGCATCCGTGCTTAAGTCTTCCTGCACGGGGCGCAGACGAGATCTAAGCCATTTATTCTGTGTAAGCCTTTTTCTAATTAGAACCTTAAAAATTTCTAGGTGACAGGATTGTGCCTTTTCTTTAAAATCTATGGCTATTTAGAATCTTCAGGATGCTCTCTTACCAAGTTCATTATTAAAAATAGTTGTAGGTCCTATTTTGGTCAAATTATCTGTGCCCTTTTTAGATTATTAAACCTTACTGGGACCACAACTGAGGTGCAAAAACCACTGAAGATACTGAAACCTTCAGTTGCCTACCTGGCAACCAGCAGCTTCAGCCCATCCAGCTCAAGTGAGTCTGTTAGCAGACTGGATTGAACCTACCCTTTTAAAACAAAGCTGGTGTTTAAAAATACATTTTAAATTTCTCTCTCTGCTCCAGCTACAGTCTGATGTGCAGAACAGTCTGTCTTCACTCAGCAGAAAGTCATGGAAATAAATGTACTGTCATTCACACTGGGAACATAAAAGCAAATCCCACATTCTCTCCATTTTTTCTTTTTGCCTCCCTTGCTTTGGAAGCCTGGCTTGTATGCATGTGGGATACATGTTTGCTATGTTTGCTATATTTGCATGTTTGCATGATACATGCACTGTTGCTCCCTGTTTTCCATCCTCTTTGTGCAAGGAGAAGTTAGAATTGAAAAAGAAAGGTTAAAAAGAACAGCAGCAACTTCAGGTTTTACACCATTTTATCCTAATGAAGCTGTTGGAAGTGATTTTGAATAATACCATAATTGGCTATCCTCCTTTAATGATTACTTGAATTTAAAAGTAAATAAAAGTAGTTGACAAGAAATAAGCCTTTACATTTAGTGGTGAGAAAGCAGAGACTTTCCTGATCTCAGTGGACAATGAGTTTCAGAAGACGGGTGCATTATATCTAACTGAGTGACTGCCTACAATGATTAATTTTGCAATGAAGAGGCACAGAGGCCTATATCAGCAGGTCAGGAGAGTTAAAGAGAAAGGAATTGGGACTAAAGACAAAGCTGAATGAAAAAGAAGACTAGAGTCCATCCCATGCAAGGATTCCTTTGAAGAAAAAGCAGCCTTCTTACCTCTTCTCCAAAGCTCATTCGTTTCTATGAGAGGACTTATACATCCACCTGTGTCTTTTTGACAGATCACACAAAGAAGGCTCTTGTGGATTCTTCCTAAATATTTTCAGAACGAATGCTGAGGCATATCAAGTAGGAGAGAGTCTAGAGGGAAGCTTTCCAGATTCACTTGGAGTGTACCTCAAGTCTGTTGAGAACCGTGCTTTGCTGGAAGCCTCTTTCAACTTCTCCTGGCCCTTGGACTCCACAGGCTTTTCAGGTAACTTAACCAGTTACAGCTCATCAGCATCTAGCTAAAATACCTTGAGTCCAGTTTCTAGTTTCTTAGAGCTTTACTAGAGACAGAGGTTCCTCATCAACTCTGAGTGTGTATATGTGCAGGAACCCTAGATGAAAACTCTTCCCATAAGATCAGGCAGATATTATTGCCAAGATATTCCTATGTCAAGGAATGGAGACTTCCACTGAGATGAGATGAGATTACTTGTTTAGGTGGGTTGTCACGCACATCGGTGTCTCTGAGATATCCAGTCCACTTACCAAGCCTTTGGACTCCCGCTTGGTCGTCTTCCATCCACACTCATTGCAAGAGCCATCCTACTGATATAGAGGTCCTGTATCCAATCGATATGCCCCTACCAACATAGCCTACCCTCCCTCAACTTGTCTTCAAAAGGAAAAACCCACTTTAGGTGATGTACAACCTCATTTTGTTTCCTGTCTTTGAATGTCCAACCATTTGATATCAATATATTCACTTCTATGGTGCAGACATACTGATTTCCTTTCTTGTGGCTGGTCAAGTCTCTGTTTCATATATTAAGATGGCTCAAATTACAGTTTATGCACTCAACTTTATTGGCATATTTTTAATCACAGAGAACTGCTGTCATCTCCCGCTATTTGCACCAGGCAGCTTTGGTACAATGCCAGATATCACTCCGGAGAGCACCGTTGTCAGCCATCCTATGTATTTAAAATCCTATGAATTTAAAAG